CGTCTTCTTTTGTCTATACCCGGTCAATGTTGTTTCTTATGAGTCATTTGTGCTGTGTCTCTTTGCATGTTTCGCTGGCGTCTCTTGTATTAGTATCTCGAAGGTTCATCTAGCATTTTTTTTGGGTTGTCGTTCCTCAACTTCTCTGGCAGGTTAATCCTCGCTTGATGACATTGCCAAGCGGTCGTCGAGAATAAACGACGACATAAGCTGGCGCGGCAACACATGAGTAATTAAAGATTTGTGGTTATGGTAAATATGGATCACGGGACGACGATCTCATTAAGGTTGGGAAAATATAAACTACCAACTGTGACGCGGCAGTACTAGCCTCTTTTGGGCCATACAATGATGGACGAAATAACTTCCTCAAATAACCTCAAATGAATATTTGGGCAACATAGAATTGTAGAGGACATCTGTAGCTACAAATGTATGTTTTTATTTTTCAAAAATATTAAGTACAAATTTTTTTATTTCCTAAGAAAACTTTTTTTGTTAAAATGGTCTAAAATTGCATTTCTATGAGTTTGAGCACTACTTGAAAATTTTCGACCCAGATTTTTGCCGCTTATATAATACAAAAAGTTATGTAATATTAATAATAATAATAATAATAATACATTTGTCAGCATTTTTTTAAGTAATTTTTTCCAAACACCTAGAAAGTTGAACAAACACTATATAACTGTTTAAAAACTAACTTTAGACATTAATAATTGTATCTGAATAAGTTTTGAACTTGCTAGAGCCGATAAAACAAAGTCAATTTTTTCTGACCTAGAAATTTTTGCCGTAGGGTCCTTCCAAAAGGAGTATGTGGCTGTGCTGTGACTGATGTGACAGGTTGGTTGAGTTTATGTTTTCCCAACCTTATATGCCTCGTCAAGTCCATCAAAACGACGGGCTTTGCAACTTGACTACCATGCCGATGATCTTGCTTACGGTCTCCAGGCACCTAAGTTCGTTGCATGGCTCTTATTTTGTTTCTCAGAATGGCCTGGATTAGCCTTGCTGAGCGCTGCATTCAGTTGTGAATCAGGTGTTATGGGCGATCAAGGCGGTGATATGATCCTGCCACATCCGATGGGGGGGGCATGAGGATGCAATAACTCCCCAAGCTTTGCGCAGGACTCTGAGAGGACTTGCAGCCTGAGAAACTGAGCTTGTTTGTACTTCGGTGTATTGAAGCCGCCCGACGAGCTAGCATGGAAACTTTCTCTCAAGAGCTTTATTTGAACTAGACCGGAGTCCAAATTTTTCACTTCTTTGCACGATGCCGAACGGCGGGTCGCCTCCAAAAGCTCAATTACATGTGCTTCTTCATTTTCCGACCAGCTGCCGATTGGAAGCTGAACGGCTTCCGGCGAAGAGGACATGTGGTGTGCCTCGCTGACTGATTCTCGTTACTCCGTTAGGGTCAAGGACAATAATATAAGCTCATGAGGGCCTTCCAATCTCAAGGTTCTTATTCTTTTCCCCAGTCTCTCCCAGTCCTCGTCTCTGCTCCTCCGGCCTGGTGTCGTTTTCCCTATATTCTGCTTCAGAGCTTGCTCTATCCGTTCATTTTCCTGCACATTCATTCATACAACGTCAGGCCAAAGAGAGCTTCCACTCTTTCCAGGCACATTTTTCATCGATTTAACTTTTGTGAAGGTTTTTCAAGAAGAAATCTAATTTTCTTGTGACGACGCCAAGGATGTTCTCTAAAACGCTCTTTGCCGCAATCAGTTTGTTGGCGGTTGCTGGGCCTTCGGTCCTTGGTGCCCCGGGCCGTACGTGCGATGTACAATCTACAGTTACTATTACTGGTGGAGATGCGACGGCAAGTGCTACTGTTACGGACGTTAGTGCGACCACTTCCACCTCAGTAGCATCTTCCAATTCTACCTCTGACCCCATCAAAGGCAGAGGTGGAAAAAATAAGGGCGGCTCCGACAGCGCCTCTATCTCAGTTACTGATATTGCAAGCTCTGCGACGTCATCGGGACGTGTTACTATCGGGACTTCAATAAGCGACGTGTCTGTCGATGCATCTTCGACTGTAACTGATTCTTCTGCAACGGCATCTGAAACCCGCACCTCGAAGGGCAAGGATGGTAAAGGGAAAGGCAGTTCCGGGGATGCCTCGAGTTCGAGCGTCGATATCGCGAGTACCTCATCTGCGGACAATGTAACTGTAACCTCGACTGCTTCGGTGTCTGCTTCTTCCGATCAGTCGACTGGAACAAGTACTCTTGGTTCTGGTTCCGGTAAGGGCTCGTCAGGAAATACGTGCCCTGCGCAATCTACCGTCACTGTCACCGTTAGCGCAGGCGGAGATTCGGAGACCACTACTGCGAATGATGCTGCCGCTACCACCACTGCAGCTTCTAACAGTAACGATTCTGGATCGGGTTCGTCCAACGGCAATGGCGGCAATGGCAAGGGTGGATCGAAGGGCGCCTCTGATTCTAATGGCAGTACTGCGATTACTACATCATCCGGCCGCAATAATGCTGCTACATCGACGACAGGAACGTCTGCTACTACTGATTCGTCAACTGCTACAAGCACGTCTGGCTCCGATTCCGATTCCGGTTCGGGCTCAGGCTCTGGTTCTGGTACTGGATCAGGTACCAATGGTGATGACCAGAGTGCTACAAGTACGTTTAGCTTCATGTCACTTAATTGTATTCAGCAATCTAACTTGTAAACCTATCCAGTCCTTAACCCCGCTGTTATTGCGACTGGCTTCGCTGAGGATGGTCAGCAAGTTCCCGCAGAAGGCCAGGTCGCCTCCTTAACATCTAAGAACAACTTTATCAACTTCTGCCTCACTGTCAATAAGCCCATCACAAATGGCCAGCAGATCAAGACCGGTTCGTGCAACCCAGCTCCGATGGGTGTCATCGCAGCGACTACGAACATGCCATCCTCGAAATTCACTAACCCGAAGAACTTCGGTAAAGTTAAAGCCAACACGGCGTTCACTATCGACATGGCTATCAACAACCTCGAGACGGGCAACTTTGTAAATGCTGCGTCTAATTATTACAGCGCACCCCAGCAGGTTAACGCTCAGGGCAACATCATTGGACACACGCATGTCGTTATCGAGCCACTTGACAGTCTCAACCAGACGACTGCGACTGACCCGAGCAAGTTCGTATTCTTCAAAGGTATTAACGGTGCTGCTGTCAACGGTGTTGTATCTGCGGATGTTACCGATGGCTTGCCTGCTGGCTCCTATCGTCTGGCATCGATCAATGCTGCGGCGAACCACCAGCCCGTGCTCGTTGCCGTTGCTCAGCACGGTTCTCTCGATGACATGATCTACTTTACGGTCGAGTAAACGAAATCAGAATACGATGGGGTAAAAGTGTGGTTATCGATCGTACACGCAGTCCGGATTCACGTCTTCGTAACTTATTCGCTATTGTTGATCATGAGCGCATTCACTTTGGCATATTCATCCTTTGTAGTTATGTTTTGATCTTGCATTTCACATTGTCACATTGATACCTCGGTTTCTTATCCCTCTCATTAGTACGTAGTTTTTTTCTAGTCTTCTTGATTTTTTGGCATACTTGGTGTTGTTTATTGTTGGATCTCTATAGTCGACTACCTTGAAGGTAGACGGGGAGCAGGAATACGAAGGAAAGATTTGTGGAAATGATAGAAGGGCGAGTAAATGTGTAAATGTGTAGTAGTGTTCTATACCGTTCAATGGAATGTGGATACGAAGCTGTCTAGGCTTGACGATTGAAATAACTGAATAGTGATACTAATTTGAATGTACAGTACAATTGCCTATTAATTCTGGAGCAAGTGTAAAAGTTTAAAATTTAATATAAATGGATAGATCAGGAGATGGAATATACAGACAGAGAGTGTCAAATATGAGTGTAAGATAGATAAATACTAAACTGATACAAGAACTAGCCATTATCAGGGTGTGGAGTACTTTAAAGCAGCCAAATAGTGACAAGGAGGGCTTAGAAGTGTAAAGTAGATAATTTCTAATGCAAGAGAGGAACTATTTTGAGCTGATCCATCATTAAGGTGTTTCCAATCCTAGTACATATATGCATGGAGCATCCACTGCAAGTCTGCCCTCTGAGAGCCTAGCATCTTGTGTAAATTCTGAGTGGTTTGATGTATAATCCCAGAACTCTGGAATACTCGGATTTGAGGAAATCCAGAAAGTATCTCCAGGCCTATCATCTCTTTCAGGTGTATCAATGTCTGAGTTCTGAGGAGAGTCAGGAGCTGCAACCCTCCAATTACATTTAAAATTTGAAGGAATGCAGGTGATTTCTCCTTGTCTTCTACATTTAAAATGATATTTGCAACACTACAGACTATAACCCTTTGAAAGGATGAGTATACAAATATTAAAATATGAGTGTACAATATTTAACTTACAATATGAAATAAATGGCTTGATTACAGATGACAGTCCTCAATAGTCTCAATCCTTAAAGGCCCAGGGAGGACTGACTTTCCATAGCCTTGTATAAAGCAAGCTCTAGTAGAATGGACCTGTACACTAATAGAGTAGACCTGTATAACTAATATTAGGAGCTTGTAACAGTTCAAAAATGTGAGACCTACTAGTAGAGAGACCTTAATCCTAAAACAGATATTTTGACATTACAGATTGCCAATTGTCTATAGAAAGAGTGATAGTAGACTGATAATAACAGTTAGTAGTGAATTAAGAATATTGAAACTTATTACATACTCTTCTCCTTTAGTATTGTACAAAGTAAGTAGCTGAGAGTGACAATAGTGTTCAGAATATATAATACCTGAATACATATAATTGTAGTACTACATTTCTATTGTCTGATAATGAGGAACACTTCTTCCTCTATTTCCTATGATTGAAATCTACCAAAGGAATATAATGTACAGACTCTTAAATATAGTATATCTGAGAAAATTAAGCTATTATAAAATTGTTATACATAAGGGAATTAGACTAACAATCCAAAAAAAAGGATTATTAACTAATCTGATTTATGGATTTAGAAAAGATGCAAAAATAGGATTTATTGACAGTATGTAAATGTACCTAAAATACTCTCTAGCTAATTAGCAAGTTGACCTATTATAAAGGTTAGCTGCCAAGTTTGATAGATTAAGTATATTTGTGTCTCACACTTGTATATTTACAGGGAAAGATAAGGATTGAGTAATACATGACATAGATTGAATAGTCACATAGAAGCATTAGTAGGTTTCTAGACTAAACAGAATTGTGAGAAGATTATTGTACTTATCTAGTACTATTTTAACTAGTTACTTACAATATATATTTAGTATACTCTTAAGAATGACTGTATAGTGTATCTAGAAAGATACTAGTCAGAGGTCAAGCTATAACAAATGACTGTCTCACCTGGAAAAAGCTTAAATTGATTAGGTTGAGATTACTGTAAGGGTAAACTGTTCTTAAAATTGTACTATTTATTTGAGACTCAAAAAAGTAGTACTAGTTATTATATTATAGTATGTTTTAATAAAAAGAAGAATAGTAAAAGAAATAAAAACTATAATAAACACTAATAGTATTATTTAAGAAGTATTTTTGTCTCTCTTTCTCATTTCTTAGTTTACTAACCTGGTAGTCTTAGAAAAACATTTCAGAGTATATTTAGTCCTTAATAAATGATATGTAAATATAATAGTAATTTATTTATATTTTTGAGTATTTTCTATACTAGTAGTTTGTAAGAATGTTTGCTCCTCTATAACTGATAAGCAGACTAAGAAGTGACTTGTGTGAGAGGTAAGGTTGGTTAATAGTAAAGTAATAAACCTTGTCCTCTTTATAAACAAATAGACAAAGAAACTATATAATAACTAATTACAAAGACTGACAAATGTGCTAACACTAGTTGAAAGTCTAAAGGAAGTGTCTTATACATGCTACATTATATAAAGGTACAGTATTACAATTTCACCATTTATACATAGTAATGGGGGTCAGCATTTGCAAAGGTTGACACAGACATTCCCACAGCCTGCTGTATGATGGCTGGAACACATTCTTGTGTCAAGAGTTTGAATGCTTTCTTATTAATGTCTCTTCTCTTTCCACAACAGATTTAAAAATCATTAAAAATCATTTTTAAGTTATTACTATGTAAATCTTGAGATTTGTGTGAGGAATTTTCTTATATTTCAATATTGAACAAGATATGGCTGATTTACTACTATCTTACTGAAAGAAATGCTTGTATCTTAATAAATAAAAAATTTAAAAGAAATTCCTCACATGAAAATGTAGAGTATGATGGTATCAACATGAAAGAGAAAAAAGAATTTAAAAATATGAGATGTGGAATTTCTAGTTAATTTAAGAAGAATTTTTTGTCCCTGTTTGAACCTATATACACTCAGTCAAATTTATTCAGATGTGTCAGTTGGTCTACAAATGCTACCATGAGAAACCAACTTGTTAACTTAAGTTATCAATTAATAGAGTGAAGACAATTTAACTCATATTAAAATTGGTATATTTGGAGTATACACTACTATATTATAAACTGCCAACTTATTTTGGTACTGTGATTTGAATTGAATGTTGCAGAAAATTCATTACTTTATTTAAGAGTCTTGACATGCAGATTGATGGAATCTACTATATAAGGTGCAAATATAAGCTCTGACCAGAAAAAAAGTGCCTGTGTGTCAATTGAGAAATGCTGACCCCCAATAGTAATTTGTGACTGAGATTTATTAACCCTGTAATTAAAATATATACTTCAGACTTTTAAGACTATAAGAGTAGTAGTAAGAGAACAAGTTTGAAATAGGCTTTTAGAAAAATACTACAATACATACAATGTAACAGTAGAAGTAAGGTGATAGATAGGCCTTTAAACTACATTCTGAACAGAAGAGTTACTAGACCTATTAGATTCAGAATACACTAAAACAATATTTTTCAGTTAGAGTACTAACTGAATATTGTTAATCTAATGTTGAATTTTGAACCACAATTCAGGTTCAACTGTACTATTGTTCTCTAAGAGCTTACCATCTTCTGCAGACTCAGAATGTCTGGATGTATAAGCCTAAAATTCTACAACACTCAAATTAGACACAATTCAAAAACTGTTAGTATGTTTAAGTCTTTCTCTAGCAGCCTTTTTCATATATAACAGTATGTATCTGCCAGAAAGAGAGAGTATACTTGCACTCTCAATAAAGAAAAATATTGAAAAGAATACAGACTACTGTATTATACTATTGTTTAGAACAAGGTTTGTAATACAGTAAAGAATTGCCCTATCAAATTGTTAAGTATGTAGATTCTGTAAAGGAACTGTATACTTATAGTACAAAATATATTACTTGATCACAAATAATCATTTTTAGTAAGCTCAATCCATGAAAGTCTAACAACTTCTGAATTCCTATAGCTTTATACAGAGTAAGACACAGTAAGATAGTTCTGTAACCTAACAGAGCAGACTTATAAACATATGAATACTGTTGATCTCAAGTACTGGTTGAGGTAGAAGAGGTCAGTTGAGTCTACAAGGTACAGATGCCAAGAGGGGTCAAGAGTGAGAAGGAATAGGTAGATCCAAGCAGAATGTACAAGTTCTAAAGGTGACAATTAACAAGACAAGAGTAGTGTGGAATGACAAAGCTGCACTTTGGAACAAGGCAATATGAGACAAGACAAGGCAAGAGGGAATGTTTACTGAGGAGACTGTCAAACTACACACTAAGAGTTACAGTAGAGAGTAACTTGATTACTAGAAAGTACAAATTACATGAGGGTATTTATAGAAATTATGAGTCCTTTGTAGCTACTAGTCCTTTGTGAACAAATCCACTACTGTCTCCTTTGTATCAACCTATCTAGGACTCCAGATCCAAGTCCCCTTTGTATTAATTAACCAGCTGTCCAAAGGCTCAGAGTCTTACCTTTGTGAATCAGAACTAGAGTCTGGAACCCAACTAGTCTGAGTTGAGTGACTAAGACTATTGTGTAGGCAATGATGATGTAATTGAAGGATTGCTGACATGAGGATGATGTGATTTTGATACAACTGAGCCCTTCTGATTGGAATGTATCAGAACATACATATTGTGTGAGTGTAACATCTCTCAGGTGTTTTAGAATGTGACTGTCCCTAGTCACACCTGAGAGTGTAAATTCACAAACTGGTACACTTCATGTTTTGATCTTCTACTTCTTTTTGAGTTTGTCCTTCTTCTTCAACTATGTTATTGTTGTAAGAAGTGAATCAGGTCTACAACTGAGTGTAGGCCCTTACCTAAAGGATGTAGGAGTTACTGTAGTGTGTAAGGATAGTGGATTGGCTATTA